CTCGTACGCCGAAATGTTTAGGTACTTCCACGTTCGATTTTTGTAGTAGACGGTAAGTACAATCATCCATAAAAGCTTTTATTTTTACGACATTTTAAGCTTTATATGATTTTTTTTTCTCAGTTTTTACTGTTACAGTTTTAATGTAAATGACTATATATATAATGAAGTTATTTTGCTGGTGTAAGTGTTTTTTATAAACAACACCTAAATAACTGGATACTTCTTAAAAACCTAAACCAATTTACTGTCAAAAAATATAACGTAACCAGAAAAATCGTCCAACACAAAATGCCTTCCACGGAAAATACAACCTCAATTTTGAGTAAAGAGTTTTTATGCAGACTCAAACGGCGACCTGGCTGGTAGACATTTTTTTTGTTTCTCGTTATTTTTTCGCGGCAAAACGGCTCCATATTTGTTTTAGTCGTTGGCAGTACATGGGCGACGTCAAACGAAAGCGCGGCAGTCTTAAAAGCTCACCAATTACGGGCTAAAAGCACCTTCGAGCCGGGCTTGCTTGTCGGCTCGCGTGGTTACGTTCCCTCATCAATTTTGTACGTAGCTCTCTCGCAACTTAAAAACTTTACATTCTGAATAGAAAAAGTCACATGAGTGATCTAAATTAAGACTGTATTTTTCTTAAAATGATCGCTTTTGGTTGATTAATTTGTCGATAAATAAAAGTCGCAGAACAAAATACGTGTTGCTGTATTTATCACTAAAACTTTGCATAGGAAGATTAAAGTTTTATCATCCATAGATTTATATTAAATGAAATCAAATTAACGATGACATAACATTAAAATAAAGCGACACTTAAAACATGTTTAGCACTCACATTGAATTCAAGTACCTAGTAACAATATACTTACACAATATCATTATTAATTAATTTGAAATAAATATAATTATTATTAGTTTAAGAAACTTTTAATCTGTCTCGATATCGGTAAAGTATTTTTAAATATATTTATTCGTATAATTTTAACATGGTGTGCGAATCAATGACATATTATGAATATTTAACCCGTTTGTAGTCATTATAAAAAACGAAATGATGCTTTTTAACATGATGGAATCTGTGTTCACTGCCATATGTAAGTAAGTGGCGAGGTAAACGTCTCCACATTTTTGCAAACGAAAATAATCAGCGGGAAAATGCGGCGCCATTTTTGTAAACGACGTTGAGTGCTTTATCGATATTGTTGTATGTAAGTATGTCTGTTTATTGTTATACTTGTTGTTAAGATATTATAACTTCTATATTTTCTTATTGAATGCGCCTTTTCTCTTTACGTGTACCGAAGTTCGTAATAAATAAATAATATGATATTTACAAATCAAATGAGAGTTCATTTCATTTCTCAATGTTAGTAGAAAATATTTTTCTTTCAACTCCCTAATTGTATTAGACGACGCCTGGTTCGCATCCTATGTAAAATTCTTACACACTTTATACGAGTCAAAGAATCTCCTTATATATCTTAAAAAAATTAGGTACCAATTACGAGTATTTTTCTCAAGAACATTTTCGAGATAAGAGTACCTTATTCGAGTTGTTTTCCTCTGGAAGAGGCTTAAAACAAAAAGATGGCGAATCCGAGAGCCACAAGCAAACCTTAAAAACTTTCCGACATGAAAGTTTAAAAGTGATCCGGGTAGGGGGAAGTCGGGGTGGTGGGGAGAGTGGTTGCTTAGCAACGCCGCCCACACCCGCCCTACGCCGCAAATCTCCGTTTGATACAGAAAACCGAAAATTTATTGTTCCTAACATAGAGATTTATGATTCATTTGGGACTTTCATTACACTTATATATCTAGTTGATTTTACGACAGAATTTTCAATTAAGATAAAGTTTTACTAATTAATTGCAAAGTACATATATATACTTATGTGTTTATTTATTAACATTTGAAACTAACTCAGAGTACTTAAATGTAGGTCCTACTACCTACGCCAAGATTATAACTTCCAATTAGGTATTCCACTATCCGTCGACGGCATTTGAATTCAGTGTCGATCAAATCCCTTGAGAAAAATGTCGCCCTTGAAACAAGTAAACAGATTTGTATTGGTTTATCAATATTCTAACATTGTTATAGGTATAATTTCTGTAAGTAAAAGAAGAAAAACTGAACCAAATCTTAAACATTTCATTTTTATTACTTGACGATTTTCCTGTCTTAAGCCTAATTTGATTAAGATCTCTTTTTCTGAAGTCTTCTGGAATTATCCGTCCCACTAAACTGTGCATGTACAAGTCAGCAAGACGCTAATTTGTTTCAATTTGCGTCACACACGCTCGAGACAAAAGGAACGTAGCAAGAGAAGTCAATTAGCATGCAAATGTAAGAAAACGACCATTAGGGAGACTTCAGTCGCACGCAGCCTGTTCGTGTATTGATCATACAATCCCTCACACGCTTACATACACCCGTCTCTTTTTAACTTCCCACAACAGATCGCTATAAACATAAACATTTTCATACTGAAAAGCCTTCTATTGATCACCTTCACTCACAATTTTCAACCCTACCCTCAAGAGACAAGTTTAAAAATCAATCAAGTCCAAAACGTGTAGATACGACGTTTTCTTGATAACTAAAAGCCTTGTTGTGCCAGCAAATTCTGTTCCTATCTTTAAAGGAATAAGGATCTATTTCAAAGTTGAGTTAAGAGAAAATGAATCGTATATAGAAATTTCAAAGGTTATTATCGACGGATGGAGACGAGTTTTTAGTTGTTGACAAGTGTATGTATGGGATGTATGGAGATAGAGGGTTGTAAACACCATGATGAGTTGCGGATTTTACACGTAGCTACTTAGATAAAGTTAGTGGGTTTAGCTATATGGGAAGATGTGTTTTTCGAACTTTCGGGTGCGGTTAAGTACATACTGTCTTCTAGGGGTGATTAAAAATCGTGGTTACAATTATGAGGATTTACTTGTACCTACATAGCTTCGAGATTGTCTATCTACTATAATAATATTTTTTAATAAGTTGTCACTTATATAGGTCCCTTTACAATAACAATACAAAATTTTCAGTGGTGTTTGGTAACTGGGCTTCTCCCAGTTGTACAGTCTCTTCTGTGCCTCTAAGGCCTAATTCATTTTGTCTCTTGCATTAAATTTACCGAGGGAAGTGGGAATTATTTAGTTTTTTCTCCTCCTCAAATAATATTATCTTCTGATTTATTTCGTTGCGGGATCGAAGACAGTCATTCATGTCCCTGGGACGAGCCGGACTTGAGTGTTCCGGTTTTTTCATGGTTGTATCTACTGTAGATCCTGGCTTACAGAAGTTGCGGCGGCTTTGGGAGGTTATTAAAATTTATTAAAAAAAGTTGTCACTGATATTGGTATGATTTTTGTAGTAATAATGTAATTATCGTTATATATCTTCGTACCAAAACAACTAAAGCTGTCAGACACAAGCTGTGTTTAGTTTGTGGCTTAGTGACATTTAAAATAGTTGATATTTGCAAAAAGTTACTAAAGAAACACTTTAACCCGAACAAATAAACTTAGATAGATACTTTAAAATAATAAAAAATCTAAGTCTAAGTTTAATAAAGATACCTAACTATAAAATATGTATGATACGACTTTTCCTACTATACTTTTTCTAAAGATTCCGATAGACGTTGTACATACAGTTCAGCAGGTTCAGTTCGGTTCAGTTCAGATTTACTAAAGAGAATAGGAATGATATCTTTGTCAAAACTAAATTGTTTCTCCTGAATAATCTATTAAAGTAACAAAAAATTTCCAAACTCTCATTCATCGATTTAATTTTATAAGCTTAGTTTTAATATATTTTTTACTAATTTATCCAATGTAGAAAACTTATGACGTCACATTCTTTCTATGATAGGTTAGCAAATGAACATCCGCAACACCAGAAAATTTGCGATTGTGTTGCTCTTTGGGGACAAGAGGTTTCGGAGATTTAGTGGTAGAAGAGGGGGGATGATATTGGGCGTCCGGTAACATCACTTACATGACGTGCAAATATCACAGAGATATTATACTTGTACGAAAAAAAAACATTCCGAAAAAATTGAATGAATTTGTCTAGCCTCAAAATCTGTTAATCTAACAAAGATTCATATTTTTCTGTAACAATTCTATCATTTAATGTATGGTATCCGAATTACGGTCTTTAATGAAGTGGGTGAGACAGATACCATTTTCCGTTTGGGTTTTGAGCGATGGAAATGCGACGAGGCGATAACGCTTCAGGAGAAAACTATCTGCTTGTTTTACTGATACTTAAGAAGGATTAGAGTCATCATCATCCCCATCACTTACGTTATTACTTTTATGTTGTTTGTCATTGGTGAGTCTTCTGCGTGTGACTTAAAGAGCCAATTGACCACCACGAATGGGGGACAACAGTGACGATGTTTAGGCGGGGTTGCGGGTTACACGCTATAAGATATCGCGGACTCGGCGTAGACCAAAAGAAGGAACGGCTGGCTTTTAGTCAGTAAGCGTCTGACACTCTCTCTCCCCATACTCTAGGCGAGAGAAGCCATATGATGATTTTACCTCATCAAAAAAAAAAGGTTTTTTTTTACTTGCAATAAACTACTGCTTGACTGCGATCCCATCTGATGGTAAGCAGTGATGCAATCGTTGATGGTTTTGAGATGGAATAAGCAATTTCGCAAATGAAATCTCAATTGTGCATTAGGGTAAATGAGAATCGAACCAGACTTACACACAAAGTATTCTCATGAAAAACAATGACACCATTTTGCACGAATCTATTCTTGTTATCAGACCCATAGCGACATCTTGCGAGTGTTGACGGTAATAAAAGAACCCGCCAAGAGATGACACTTGACATGCGCGAACCATATTTACAACAGAAGCAATAATGGTCTTTACGGTTCTGAATGTAAGGTGTAAATTGTCTCGCACGGTTTGCGCGTGCGCTGTTAAATTGATTTCTAATGTCAGCCCTTGACAGATACTCTAAAGTGTACCAGAAACTGTGATGTTATTTGTTTTCAAAAGGGGAAATAAGTGAGAATCTAAGTGATGCAGCAGAGATGAAACTTGAAGGTGAGATTTCTTCGCCATTTTCACAAGTCTTAATATTTTAGGACTCGGTAATAATAGTAAAACTGTTTTATGAAGACTTTCATGAAGGTAACCTCAAAACTCAAAGGACGATTTCAACTGTTAGCTGTATTGCTTTAGTGTTTAATATCATTTCATTGCTTTTGTACTAAGCACCTATGATTAAAGATTTGTCCTTCATATTTTTCTATTGTCCCCTAGTTTTCTAAAAAGAATTTGCCATAACTTTTCAACATTTTCTTTCTTTACTTTCACTTTTATTACATTTTCTCAGCATTATTGCTGATAATCACACTATTAACGTGAAAGTTTATAAATACGGATGGATGTATGATTCTCTGTAACTTTTTCACGTGAAAACTATTTTAATAGATCCGAATGAGATTTGGCACAGAGTTAGATAGTCAGGAATATTATTATCCACTATCTATCAGCCTGGTACTGCGGTCAAAGCTTCTGACAGAAGCTGATATCCAATAACTACATACCTAATTGTGTAAAAATTGTCGTCGCATATTTAAGTTTGTGAAAATAACTGCTTACTCGTGCCAATTACTAACACTGGCATTCACGAGATTAAGTTGTTATTTTAAATAAAAAAAAACCGGATCATTGCTCAATCACTGCAAGTTTTTGCACATCCCATAACAGAAGTCCCATTATAAGCTCACTCCATCACTTTAAAGATCCTTATCTTCAATAATACCACTTCATTAGAAGATTATGCAGCTATGTAGTAGAAAAACCAAAATGTAACCAAGGTTTAGTTTTGAATAAAGGAAGCTGTGACCCGTGGTGACGGATCTATTGTAATCGCATGGGATTGGGGTGTTATCAGACGATAATATGGCGGGATGGAGTCGCGAACACCCCTGTCCATTCTATACTTGTGATATAGAGGTCGCCTGGATGTCGAACGTTTTGGTCGGTCAGAAGTTCGGTACTATGAAGTTTATTGAGGTGGCGACTGTCTGTTTTTTATGTGGTTTTGGTGTCTTATCTTACAGTTAGTGGTGGGTAAGGAAGAGAATGGTTATACGTTGATGTATTCAAAGAATACGGTAGTTTCTAACTACGTAATGAAATTCAAAACTTTTGTTGAAACCTCAAAAAGGGTAGATAGTCGTATAAATTTTCTATGAGATTGATTATTTTGATAATTTTAATGGTTTTTCGGCAAAGAGCATACTCATTATGAGTAAAATTATTATTTAACATTATGTCCTAAAGTTAAAACAACTGAATTTCGATCTCGAAGAGTTTGAAGTCTAAATCTTATAAAGGCTAAAGAGATACTTAGATTCATAAATATCACGACATTCGATATACGACGATTTTCAAGATATAATATTAAATACAGTCTTACACATCTACTAGTTACATTTTAAAGAAGAAGTTTAAAAAAATGGTATTTAACAAGAGAGTTGTTTATCCTTTAGCTCCGTGTGTCCCTTTAGCTCGTAGTACCGTTTGCCTCGGACACCCCGACATATGGACAGCGCACTTGTCGCAGAGAGCGCATAATTTGTCCCCTATTACGGCTTTATACAGCTCTATAATAAAGTGGGGTCCGATTAAAGACTAGTTTCGTCTTTCTGTATACCAACTGTTCAAAAATCGAGGGCCCAAAATAAATTATGCATTCGATACATTGAAAGTTCTTTGTAATAGATTTTTTATCTAAAGGGTGACGGGCACCTGTCTCTTTTTGTTTTAATGTTTGGTTTAAGAGGGTTAGTTTGCAATCTATTCGGGGTTCATTGAAAATTGGAGTGTTTTACACGATTTTTCTTACACTAGATACAGATTTTCGCTTTTTATTTTATATTCTACGTTTGATAAGATTAGGTATTGAAATGTTTATTGAAAAATCTGAATCGAATTATCAAATAGGTATAGATGTATTATGTTTTGAAAATAAAACGTTAAAACTAGCTCCGTTTCAACAAAATTCCAGAAAAATAACTTTGTAACAAAGTATAAATAATTGACTTCCATTATCCGAACACTGAACCACTCGATTACAAGAACACACAATAGAAATTTAAATAAACACGCAAATTACAATACAGCTAATTTTAAAAAAGTAATCGCAGTAAAATATTTTATTTGACGTACTTTTGACTGGGCGATGACAAATGTAGTGGGCCGGACTCTTGTGAAATGAGGTGTGAATATTGGGTCCCGGCGGGATGCCTGCAGACCGCATGGGGGGCAATGGGACCCCAGCTGTCACCCTTTATGCCCCCAAGTACAATGCAGTGCAAATTAAAGACAGGTATTAAGTACTGTTCGCTCTCTGATTGTTGTAATATTTGTCACAGTTATTTGTCAATTGATGCGACGAATTTGTGGCGCGTGCCGCTTGTTAGTTTTGGAGAAATAATCTTCTTATTGAGGAAGGGTCGATATATCATACTTCCGTTTATCCTCATATTGATTTGTTGTTTCGTTACTCGAAGGATTTGGCGCACTATTGAACATTTTTGCAGCACGTTTATATGATTCAGTAATTCAGTAGTTGTCTAATGATGAAGGCGGTTTTACTGTTTTTGATTTTCAACAACATAAATTAGCCTCTTTTAATATTAACTATCCCGAGACGTACCTTTTAACTTATTGAAAAAAAAACAAACTCTCGTGAACTCTTATTCCAGTCGTCATGTTATGTCAGTTAAATCACGTGAGTCGTTATTTTCAATGACCAACAGAGTCTATTGTCATCTAGGTTCAGATTCATCTCATCTTTGTTTCCAGCATGTCTAATCCTAATGCTGAACGCGATGGCGTTGAGCATGCGTCGCGGTCCACATCACCCGCATGGCCAGACCCCGGTTGATCACAAGCACCATCATTACAAGCCACGAGGCTCTGAGTCACTCACGGGAGACGTGCAGCTATTGCATGATACCAAGTAAGTGATGATGAAGAATATATCCTAATCAAGTATTTTTCTTCAAGCCCTTGTTACATCAGCTTCATATAAGTGCCCGATAAACTTATATGGCACAAAATTCACAATGATATATGGTCTAAACGGGCTATTTCATTTCTGTTAGGAGATGTATTAAGGGAGGTAAGTTCCTATTACTTTACATAGATTGCTGTGTCGGTTAACCAGTGCTGTCGTCAGTCCATGAATTAAAATAAGTCAATATGAAGTTACCGAATACATAATATACTCGCAATACATTGCGAGTATAGACAAATGTCTGAGCAGACAAATGTCCTTGTCACTTGATATAAGAATTATATGACCTTAAAGTAGACAGTCAAAAAGAAATTATGAAATTTTGCAAAACTAGGTTTGTTGGTACACTGTGCCCATTGTTGAATTCTAATGAAGTCCCCGAAAATAAGTGTCCGATTCATCCTTCTGATGCAACTGTTGCTTTAGATTAAGTAAGTCATTATTACAATAGTACCGACGACGTTCTGGTCGACAGCGTGGAACGTAGAGGTTGTTAGCAAATATAACACAAACACAACAACAATATTCATTATATGTATTATCACTATGAAATGGGGCATATTTATGTGGTTGATTCGTTGATAGTTCAAGAAATATGTAAATATTGACAACTAGCTTTTGCCCGCGACTTCGTTCGCGTGGAATAGAGACTTTCTGCAGTATTTTCGTATAAATATATATTTATACGAACATACTGCCTTTCTCAACTTCCAAACTATGTCTGTACCTAATTTTACAGAAATTTGGATGCTAAATATGTAGAAACTATATTGTTCAAAACATGTATTATTTTTTTTTATGAGATAGGTCGCAAAACGGGCAGACGGATTGCCTGATGGTAGGCAATCACCGCCCAGGAACATGGGCGCCGCCCAGGAACACCCACAATACCAAGGGTTACGAGTGCATTGCCGATCTTTTGGTGATTAAGCTTTAGGTTAAGGATTGGGCCTCCGGTAACCTCAGTCACACGTCGAAACACCCCGCTGTGATTGTTTCATGCCGTAATGTATTGGATACAAATTGTGTCACTAAAATATATAAATATATAATAAATGTAACTTTTAAATGTACGAATGTTTTCTGAATGACGAAAAGAGTTTCCTGTTTCTGTTTTGTTATAGGCATATTGAAGAAGATGCTCAGGTACTGACAGCGGAAGCGCTATCAAATATGACACCAGAAGAATTAGAGTTTCATTACTTCTCAGCTCACGATTTTGATAAAAATTCCATGTTGGATGGATTGGAACTGCTGAAGGTGAGAGGAATAATTAATTAGCTAAGAATAACCTTGAAGGACTTTATGATTATATTATTATTATCTTAGAGCCAGATTAAAATTTAATTATTATGTTTTCGGCTTACTTACGTAATAATTTGGCGAGATACTCGACTAGTGTAGGAGTAGCAGCGCGACAGTCACCGAGTCGCGTGTCGCGAAATGCTGCTCATAAATATGGGCCTCTAGCAAGGCTTGAAACTAGTCGAGTATCTCGTTAAATTATTACGTGAGTAAAGCCGAAAACATAATAATTAATTTAGAATGTGTCATGAAAGTTTTAATAAAAACAGATTAAAATTCATTTTTATATGGAAGAAATAAATGTTTGTGTCCGATATTTTTCAATTGGTGTTCTAGAAACGTTCTTTTTTTTCTATGAAGTATATTTTTGAAGAAGTCTATGTAACTTTTCAGGCCGTTTATCATACTATAGAGCATGAAGCGCCAGATCCAGATGCAGATTCATCTATTGAACCGGAGGCTAATGATCTTGATGCCTATATTGGTAAGATTGATAGAATTATGTTTTGATAAGGTACTTTATTATGATGAAAAATGATAGAAAAAGAAAAAACGATGTCTTAACGTTAAATGATTGAACAAGAACTAGGTGTTAACATGTAAGATCACGATTTTGTCCAAATAATCAACTATGATAATAAAAATGTTACTATTTCAGCTTTAGTAGATCGAACATTGGAATCAGATGATAAAGATGGAGATGGTTATGTATCCTACGCTGAATATAGAGCAGCCAGAGCCAATAATCCATCAGAAAGAACCCCTAGAGTTCTTGCAGCCAATACCCCTTAACCAATAATTGTGATATGCAGTGTTGATGGACCCAATGTTTGAAGAAATCAACAACGAATAGTTCTTAGGAAAATTTTATTAAGGATTATGGACCTACTACTTGGTATTATTTGAATGCAGACTGATTTGGGCTAATTCATGGGTTCTGATATGCTGTAGCTAAAATGATACATTTAGGGATAAATAATACGTCATCTCATTCTGTACATAGTTTTATTACTTAATTAGAAATAAATTTAATTTTCGGGTTTTGTTTTTCATTTGTTTTATTGTTATTGACTATGCCTTACCCTTGCCTTACCGTATGAATATGTGATTCAATTTTGACTATATTATTAAATACAAAAATGTACCTTCAAAGCATTTGTTTAGTTTTAAGGCAATCATACGCTTGTCTCATTAGCTCATTTTTTATTGTATATCTCTTACAATAACTGTTTAAGGCCTACGTGATAATTAACTTAAAATACGATAAACATCATTGTTTAAATAATTTAGTTTACTTTCTTCAGACTTATTATTCTCCACATTTGTAGCGAGTCTCGCAGTTCATGCCTCCTTCACCCCATTCAGCTGCTTGCTTGATGCCCATCGCTATTGCTGCATAAGGTTCCAGGTCTACACTGTCTCTGTTGGCAATTCAATTTATTAAAATAGCGTTAAGTTTAATATAACCGACCATATCAAATTATTTCACGTCCATTAAAATATCTTTAATGTGTTTTTTTTCTATTCTGAAATCAATTTTCTCAATTCAGATTATGATGTATCTACATATTAAAAGCAGATGAACACTTTGTTCCTTAACTCTCGATGGTTCTGTATAAAATTCGATCTTGGAAATTTGCGACATCCCCGGATTCACAGGATACAATGCTGTTACTAAATTTTTCCACTATCTAGCGGATGTTATTATATACATATACATTTTCGACTTAAATCCTTTCCGTAGGTTTACAGGTTTATCATATATCCCGAGCGGCCGACGCGTAGCGTTCCGCGCGCGCCTCAAAGAGCCAATAGACGGCCAGAGACGGGGACCTATAGGGCTGATGTTCAGCCGGGGTTGCGGGGTAAGCGCAATGAGTTACCGCGGCTTTTGCCCACAGCAGAAGACGGAATGGGGTTCTTTTTAGTTGGTAGGAGTCTGACACTAGGGCGGGAGAAGTCATTCGATGATTTAATTGTCACAAAAAAAACATGTATAGGAATATGGGGGCAGAGAAAGCAGCTTTGTTTTATACTAAGTATGTAGTGAAGCCTTACCCTTGTAACATTCTAGTGCCTTGAAGCAGCAGCTCAGCTCCGGATGAATACATGCTGGCCTGCTGAGGTCGTTGACATGACAGCAGGTACAGACAGCCATAGTCTTTCTTCTGCTGACCGGCTAAGTAACTCAAATACAGCAGAATCTCGTCTTCACTTATATAGGTCACGTTTCTGTTGTCTATGGAAAATGATTTCGATATTAAATCTGTACATAACTTTGATATAATTACGGGAAGGTTATTTCATTTCTTCACCGAAGAAATTAAATAACCTTCCCGTAATTATTATTATCTAGTTACTCTCGTGCTGTTTTAACGATTCTCGGCTCCTACTGGGTCGTAGAGCGATGTTTTATAGCTTTTCCATAGTAATATTATAAAGAGGTAAAGTTTGTAAGTTGTTTGTAGGTAGAGGGCAATCTTTGGAACCACTGATCGGGTTATCAAAATTATTTCACTAGCTAGATAGCTACAATATTGATAAGTGCTATAGGCTATGAAACATCACGCTACGTTCAAATGGAGCCGAACAGAGGTTGAAACCGCCCGAGAGTAGCTAGTCTTTGATAAACGGATTATTCAATTTCAACAAATTTTAAGAAAACAAACTTATGTAGAATTATAATGCAAGTGTAAATTTAAACTGTGGCAAAAGAAAATAGAAATGTACAGAAACTTGATTTAATTGAGAGTATATATACACATACATATATACTCTAAACCAAATGACAATTATCACTAAAGTGGACTCATGACACGTAGTTGTGAATTACACACTTGAATTTTCTCCGGTGTCGTGGGTGCGTTTATAAACATAAAATTTCATGGACACATCACACCCAGACCCGGAACAACAATTGGTGGACCACATAAAGAATCGAATCCGCGACATGTTGCGCGACAGCCAGTTGACCAGCCGCCGTGCCAACAGTACAGTCTACTATTATTTATTTATTATTTGTATTGATGATTAAATTTCTCAAGATACGGTAGACAGTGGTTGATTTTATATCGGCCACTGTACATAACTGTTCATTTTTATTTGTACATAAAATTGGCTTTCCTTAACTTATCACAGAAAATACTTAACGGGTAGAAAAATAACAGTATTTAGTATAAAACTTTCAACAACTTTGTCCTTTTCCTGATGTTATTTAATGGTCATTTGTCAGGAGTTTCGGAGATAATCCTGTGCGAATGGGATTACGAACCGGACATAACAAACCCATCGGTCCTGTGTATTGGATTATGGAATGGTCAGTTTGTATGTACCGTGTCCTTGAAAGGTGGCCGGCAGATGTAACTCTTTATGATTCATGAATTCCTGGTCATTTCGTTGTAAGAGTGCGTTTATTGTTAGAATTTCGGGGCTAATTTTGTAGTGTCAAAATCATAAAAATCGCTTCTAATAATAATTGTTGATTTTATTCATATTAAGGCGAACATTGAAATAATTTTACTTAAGAAGAAGATTTTATATTTTTTGCATCTTTATTTTGTTTTCGTTGGACTAAATTCCATTATATAATAAAAATCACAGAACTAGGCCTGTAGTTCATCAATATTCCAACTTCACGGTTGTATAATGATGACCTCATGATTGATTGCAATGAAGTCATTATACGTTCTGAAGTCAGCCGTAATTGATATTTAAAATTTGTGCTTCTCCGCAAAGTTCAGGTTATAAATAATATACGCTTTATTATTACAGGTTAATTTTTGTGCGTTACTATTATTTACATAACCCAAAAGTAAATTCAAAAATATTTGTTTTAGTGTGAACTAGAAACCTATATTTGAAAACATTTTACATTAAATAAATAATTATTAACTAATGTTAAGATGAAACAAAACATGCGACTACAACAGTCTTTGGTCGAAAAAGAATTGTGTTATGAAATATTAAATTTAGACAAAATTATAAAATTTCGATCCGATTTCAGTGAATTCATTTTTTCCTTTAGGATACCAAGAACCTGAACAAAGAACAGGAAATTTCTAACCAACGTAATCTAGATAAACAACACGACATCTATTTACATGTTTACTCATAACATATTATATAAGGCACTTACCATCCAGACTCCTTCCGTAGTAATGGCCGCCTTTCCATGCGCCGGCCCCGAAGAAGCCAGCCGCTAAGATTAACGCCTTCAGTACAATCAGGATCACTAAATTCGTCAAATTTAAACTTAAAACCTGTAAATACAATATGTGGTACTGTCAAAAATGTATTTTAAGCAGTCGTAATAAGGTACATAATGGTGGTATGTACTACAAAAGTTTATAATTATCAATGTAAATATATTTGATAACACATAAGTTTGATTGTAAAGAAGTTCGTGATAGGATGACGTTACTGTAAAAGTATATAATAAGAAAAATATTGTATAGACCATAAGTAATTAGGGAAAGGTATTACTAAGAAACAGAACAACCTTAATTATAATATTATTTTAAGTAATCAATAGCAGTCATTAAACGGATGAATAAGTTATTCAAAGTTTTAAGTATGAAAAAATTTTCCAGAAAGTTCTACAAAATGTGAAGCGTCATTTTTTACAACTAAAAACCAGCTGAGTGATGCTTAGTCATGGCTACTTCACTGTGTCCGAGTAACTGTCCTTTCCTGATAAGATAATACTTCAAAAGGTTCGCGGAAACAATATCTTTCAAATAAGTGACGTCATCTTACCCTTAACTATGACTCACAAAAAAGCTATTCAACTTACAAATAATTACCAATATTAGTCATAACAGGAATGCGTGCATCTTTAAAAAGAAGTGCTTAAGTACGAACCTGGGAAGCGCAGTCAAAACCAACCTGACTGCTGCCTGTAGATCGAGCGATGAAGTCCTTTGCTATGCTGGTCACCACTTGCCCTCCTGTGCCACTGAGGAAACTGCCCGCGGCGTCCAGGAACGATGACCTCCCGTACAGAGCCGTATCGTTATTATTGTCGAATCTGGCGATAGAACCCTGATCAGGCTCTTCTTTGAACAGCACTGGAGGTTTATCCCGGGGTAGCAACTCATTTGTATCATATCCTTTCTTAGGATACATTTTTTTCGCGTATTGTGGGGATGAATATGCACCCGTGTGTTCCGCGGAAACATAAGCGATTGTTAAAGACAGTAAGAAATAAATTGCAACCATTTTGTCCGGTGGTTGAAATGTAACTGGGACCAGGTAGTGCCCACAATGGTCTACGATAGTTTGAAGTGGTTTGTCCGTGTTCCGTTGTTTTATCTCTTCCCGACTTCTTTTGTTTGCACGCACGATGACATCTCCTAATGGTCCTATTGTTGTTCGGTTTAGTGGCGAAATGGTTGCTTTTTCAAATAAATCGAATGTATGGGCAGGTTATTGTTTACTTATGTAACTTAGGGAAGTCTTCTTGATATGATTAAGTACTTTTGTTACATTAAGTAAATCAATATAGTATACGTATTGGTTCGATAAATTGTTTTTTGTTGTAACTGTTGTAAAAGTTGTCACTGGATGACCAATTTGAAGTAATATTTACATTTGAAGATACTTTTTAGCTTAGGATTCATTAATATGTACCTAATTGTCATAATGTAGTACATTAAAAATAAAATTTGAATTTGAAGTATATTCAATGAAGAATGAATAGTTGATAATGAAGCATTATTGTTTTATTAATCACAATTTACATGGATATATTCTTAATAGAATAATTATCGTAACGCCAAATGCAAGCCCATATTAAAAAAAAACAACAAAACCGAGAAGAAACATCATTGTATATACACCTAGCTATCTTAAAAGTAGGTGACAATGTTAAACTTAGTGGAACATCAGTTTACCTCACTGTTTGTTCCGTAATGCTCACATTTGGGCCAGCTGCTGTAATTGTGACATAACAATACATCATAGAGATTTTATTGACATCATTTATGAGGAGACTGATGGAGCTCTGTCAATGATATGGGTTAGATAAGTAAATGAGTGTTTTAATTAAAATTAAAAATTATTAAAATTCTATGATAAAAAGTTTTCGCGTATGCTTGTAAAAAGGCGAAAATGTAGACATATGTATACGAGAGTACTGACTATGAGTTTAGATTTTAACCTAGTTCTGAGTATGTCAAAATTATTTGCAATTGGCTGCTATGAAGCGCAACATATCATGGGTTGAATCTAACACCGATAAATGTCTTGAATTATATTTAAATTGTGGGTGTTTTTTTTTTTTTGTGAGGGGAAAGTCATCAAATGACTTCTCCCGCCCAGGGCCGGGCAGGAGGGAGTGTCAGACTCTTACTGACTAAAAACCCCCCTGTTCCTTCTCCTGCTCTGTGCCGAGGTCGCGGTGCCTCATTGCGCTTACCCCGCAACCCCGGCTGAACATCAGCCCTTTAGGGCCCCATCTGTGGTGGTCTAATGGCTCTTTGAGGCGCGCGCGGAACGCTACGCGCCGTACGCTCGGGCCTGGTTCTGGTCGGGCGGCGAGCTGCCCTTACTCGCCGACCGCAGGCCCGTGCTTACGGTGGCCGGAGATCGTCCCTTGATCCCCGACGCCCGTAGTGTCGCCAGTTGCGGCTGCTGGGGCGTGAGGAGGAGGATTGCTCCCTCACGCGGGCCGCCTCTCTCAAATTGTGGGTGTGGGACGTCTACTTCTAGAATAAGGCCTCTTCTTAATTATTCACATCGAAACACGCATCCATTAGCTCACAACGAATCTGACGATGCCGTCTTCCGGTTAGTTGTCTCTCGAGCACTTTTCTAACCCATCGATCGGTTATCCACTGCCACTTTAACTTGCAGATTTTAAGAGCTGTGCCGGAAAACCTGGTATTCTGGCGAATTTCCACATTTTGGATTTTGTTGCACAGACACTCAATGAGAAAAAGAAGAAATCTATAATACTACCGATTTATTACTTACCTGTCGTGGGGGCCCAAAGGTTAAGGCGTCCGCCTCTCGTGCATGAGGCACGGGTTCGTAACCTGGCAAGTTGCCAATGTAATCTTTTCAGAGTTATATGTACTTTTTAAGATTAATAAGATTGACATACGGTGGAGTGGCGTACGGTGAAACATCGTGAGGAAATCTGGACTGGTTTCTAATTATAAGTTTCTAATGGACCATACGCCTTGGGCAAACGTGGTGAATAATGCTCAAACCTTCTCCTTGTGAGAAGAGACCTTTGGCCTTTGGCTTCGGCATTGAGCACTTATAGGCTGATGATGATCATGTATATTTGAATAACAATCATTACTAGATAGCTAGACGAACAGCACCAGCCTTCCTTATGGTGTAGAGCAATTCTTAAAGCAACAATAAGATAATGGAATTGTTATAATCATACATTCGTATCTCCGTATAGTCAAGGAAAGTAACATTTTCCACCTGGTTAACTATATTGATGGCACGCTTTCAATAAAATGGTAAGTGAAATGACCATAACAATGCCTTTGAATGTATGCTCGGCTATGTCTTGTAAGTGATTGACTTTATGCTCCAGATTGATGATATTTTTCTTTGAATTTTGTGAGACATATTTTCTTACCTTCTTGATCCTGATCTCATATTTGTCTAGTTTCACGAATAGTTTTCTCTACCTGATTTTTGGTTAGTTCAAAACTAACAACGTTAGCAAAGTTTTATAAAACGATTGAGGTCCGTGTAAAAACGTAGGTAAAACTTTTATCGAAAGTCACAATTTAACAAGTAAAAAAATACTACGCTCCAAATTCACCAGTAGTGACATCTAGCAGCGTTCACCGGTACTATTTTACTTAACACTTTCTTTGTCTTTCGTTTAACTTAACATAGATGACGCTAGATACGAACTGAGTGAAAGAGCCCTCTTCATTGCGATGCACATTGGTTCCACTTTCTACCGTTAGATGGCTTACTGTTGTAAAAGCTTCGTACTTCATAATCTAGAGGGCAGAATGTTTTTTGTTGTGAAGCAAAAACATGATTTTTTAAAAAAAATCTTTAGCTTTATTTATTTAGAGTAGGTACCTACAGATAGTAGCTTATAGTCGATCAAGTAAAGTTATATCTGTAAACATATATTTGAGAAAAAAATGAAAAAGTTTCTTTGTTACCAACATAGGTATACCTCTCGAATAACCTAAATATAAATGAACCAGCAGTTATATTTCCTAGCGGAATTCAAGACCTAGATATTGACTATGCTATGAAGAGATATACTTTAAAGTTAGACAGTTAATAAGTCAGGGTTGCAACTTCTGGGACTGAACTTGAACTTGACAACCAATCTGATTGGGCTAGAAGTTATTCAGTATGATTGATCTGCAATTCCAATAAGCCTGTGAATGCAGCTACCATTGGTGTTAGGAATGTAATACTAGTAGTACCTAAGTATAATTAAAGACATGAACTTCGGCATGAATGGGCCGGCTCGAACCTAATGATACCACGGCGTCACACTAAAAACTGGTCGGCAAGAACGCTTTGGGAGTGGTTTATGTGGGAATCGGACCGGAGGTCCAGTCCTTTCCCAGTCCTTAACCCCCGAAACACTTAGCGTACTTGTAACTCCTCGGTACTGGGGCGATCATGGGTGTCGCCGATTAATCATCATCAGTCGATATATTTCTTCTTTTGCCGATGTTTAAACTTCTAACCTAACCTAATATTTTCCTAAATAAAATAAAAAATCTTTTGTACTTTACTAACTAACTAACTACTACAAAATTTGCTCTGTATATGTATATTTATTTTATGTATGTATATCTTTAAAATTTAACTAGTGTTAGGGCGTCAAGTTATATAGATCCATTCCATCCCTATGTTTCATTAAACAATAGTCTATCTATAAAATAAATGTTGGATTGATAAAAGATAACAGAAAGAGTAAGAGAAAGAGAACCTATATGTTTTACCTATACCTAGTATCGTGTTGTTTGGTTGTTTCTAGAAATACTAGCATACCAAGGCAAGAGCGTCATGTATGTACAATAAACAAAACGTTTGATACCTACTTAACATTTGTGTACACAAAATGGACTCTACTACCCAGACATAAAGCATAGTTAAAACGAAAACATTATCACTAACCTTTGACTGTGCTTTAACACAACTGACCGATAATCAATGATCGTTTATTTCATGGTGGATGCAGTTGTCATGGCGGCATAATGCGTTTATTATTATTTTAAATAACAGTGCGGTGCGCAAGCGCAGATCAAGCCGTGAGAGCGGCCGGTGAAAAGTATCAGAAAGTGAAACCGCATCGAGCCTTGACCGTCACGCTGAGAAGTTCAAGTTAAAATTTAACTTTAAAGTTTAAGTTAAGTTACACTATTGTTATCTAATGGATTATAAAGTAAAAGTGTCATCATTGTTGGCTATTCGGTTATGGTTTATGAATGTTTTGTTTTGAAAAAGAAAGACATTTGTGTGATAAAGTGACAATGTTGAGTTTGGTATGGAGTCATTATTGATTTAGGTTTTTGTTATTATTTGTTTTACTGCTGCGTGCTGTGTAATTTTAAGTGCTAAAATTTTTTTTTAAACTACACAGTATAGCATCAATTAATTTAAAGATATAGCAAAGGCACTATAAATATTTCTAAGCTATAATACCTATGTAATTTTTTTTATTGATTGGAATTAAAAATAATCTCATGTGAATAAATTGAGAATATGTGCCACTTTATTTATGCAGGCATATATTTGGATGCCACCTTAAATTACAATCTGAAACTGAAATTTCCACTAATATTTCAAGACCAGAAATGAGCCAAATCTGTCCAGCCGTTCAAGAGTTCAAGCGAGACTGACGAATAACAATCCATTACCATATATAAGAAAGAAGAATATCTCATCTCATTTTCTCAGGCACATTGGCACGAAAGGAAAAACTAGTATAGTTAATAAATTAATTCACAATACAAAACAAACCCTAACCACGCACAGAGATACAACAACGAAAAAAAATTTTACCAAAATAAAAAATATTCTATGGCCACTTCTAACCCATTCACCCATTATAGTGTTGTGATTCACGAATAGTCAGTGCTAGCAAGCAGTTGAAGAAAGTGTTCTTTTTTTCTTGCTCTTATAAGATTTGACGGTAATTACGCTTTCAACCGTGATGTAATTGTATTCGGTTGGAGTAACGACTGATACGTAATATAACTGCCGTCTTGTGGTAGGAACACAACAGTTAAGTTATTATGGGGATAAAAGAGGAAATTTTGTTGTAAGATGTTTTTTTTTTGTTTAAGAGAAGTGTTCATATGTGGAATGGAATTGTTTCGATTTTTTTTTGTTTAGGATATTGGATAGCAATGGTTATATTGGATGTTCATTTGTTTATTTTGTTTCAAGTTTCTATTCTAGTTGATTTCTATATTTTTTTTGTAATTTTTATTCTAGTTCGCTGGTTAAGTAATTGATATGTATTTTAATATCAAGTTCCTAGTTCAATAAGAACTAGTTATTGCGGTAGTAAAAAAAAAACAGAAAGAGGCAGTAGTTTTTTCCTTAGTAAGTACCTTAATTCTGATGTTTCAGATACTTTCTGATACTGTTCAAACAAATCATAAGACAGTAGTACACAGTCTGGATAAAACATATTTTAAATTCTGATTTGTTCTGCAACCGTCCAACAAACAGAAAACAGAAAAAGATTAATTCGTCAAGTCAAAAAACAATCTTCATATAACCTTTGCCTTTTGGTCGAACAATGCCCGAAGTCCGTCGTTGTGTTCCGCACTTTATAGCAATGAAAGCCAACAACAATGGCGGCTACAGAACGTAAACACTACCGCTGCAATGACACTTTCTTTCTTTTATTTTGCAAATGTAGTTGTGAATGATAAAATATCTGTCTGTAGTCAATAAGGAAAATACACACTAAGGATTTTTTCCTAAATAACAAAGATTATTATTATGCATAAATGTTGCCAAAATGTATAGACTTTTATCTGAATCTAATCAGGAGTTTTTTTTAGTTTTTATCCATATCAGTCGAAACTTTATATAAAAATAGTTGGAAGGAATGGTTTGGCTCGAACGGAGTGATACCATGGCCTCACAGAAAACCGGCGTAAAGCAACACTTAGGTACGTTGTAATCGCCGTGTAAGTGAGGTTATTGGAGGCCAATACTTCCCCCATCTTCGATCCTCAAATCCCCTATCCCTAAGTCCCTAATAACCCAGAAGAGATGTGCAACGCACTTGTAGTAACCCCTTTGGCATTACAAGTGTCCATGGGCGGTGCTGATTACTTACCACCAGGTAATCCGTCTGTTTGTTTATCGACCAATGACATAATAAAAGTTACTTTCGAAATATTTTCTGAAGGCACTAAAAATAATTTAGGCTTACCTAAGCAAAATTTTTATTTATGGAATATCAACATACTTATTCGTATCAAATACATATTCTAAGCGGTTCCTTACTTATAGTTCAAGGGTATACTCTTCTATGAATGTTAGCATCACAGGCAGAAATTGTTCACTGTTGTTAAGATAAAGAATGAGCGATTTGTATATATCTACAATGCTGGTCAAAAATATTAAAAACATTTTTTTCGAGCTAATTTTACCTTCGAATATTTTAAGTACCTACTCTATTAATATAAAATTTCAACACATTTGGAGATAACCAAATGCGCTTTCATAACAGCTAATGCATTCATCTTTTTCTAAATAAAGCGACCACTTATGACGGTTACGTACGTACAAAACTTCAGAGAATTAACAAAATAAAACGCATTAGTGTTTCTTTGTAAGAGATTTTGAAAGACTTTGTGGGAATATAATACAAAGGTGAAAGTTTTCCGTGGGTTGTATAATAGTTATGGAAGCGACTGCCCCTCCTGTCTTTACAAAAATAGGTCAAGAGGTAAAGGCCAATTATGAATTTCCTGTCTTTGAACTTAATAAGAAAAGGTGTGACTTAACTTGATATTGTCTTTTAAAGGAGGGACTCGAATATATGATTAGATACACGATACCTGGCGTTTGATTATACGTGAAAAAAGTATATTGATGTTATCGTACGAGGAAACAAAATTGGCATTTTGGTTAAGCCTCAGAAATTGTGGGTGAAATATGTGTGAATTAAGATGACAGTCTTAATCCTATGGTTGGAAATGTGACTGGTGATTCATTACTTGGGTCAGTTAAAAAGTATTACTGGGTTAGTGAGTAACTTGATATGACACGAATAGCTCCATTGA